TGGAGTGGTGCCACCCCCCCCGCCGGCAGCAGACGGTCTCTGGGCCCCGCCCCAGCGGGAGACCCGCCCCCGCCGGCCGAACCCCGCCGCAGAAGCAGAGAAAACGAGGAAAACCTCGGCACGTCAGATTTCAAACGTCTGTATTAATACAAAAAGCTCGCATCGCACACAAGTCGGAGACATCAGAGTAGCCCGCGGGCTCGAAGGCACCCCTGCCGCTCAGCGAGCGGCCTCCCCCCTCCCGCGGGGTGCTCTCCGCAGGGGCCGGGGCCGCAGCGCTGACAGAGAAGACCCGAGGTACGGCCGAGGTTAACGGCTGCTTAAACCCCGCACCGGCCGCTCAGCGGGAGGCGCGGCAGGACGACGGACGGCGGCAGCAGCAGGCGACGGAGGGTCACCCCTGCTCGGCCCAGTGCCCAGGCGGCGAGGGAAGAAAACCACATCCAGGCTGAACGCCCCGTTCAGACCCTTTGGGCTCAGGTGAGGCGGGCGAGCACTGACCAACAGAACTGGCTGCCGTGGTCTGTTAGACCATGCATCACGTCATTACCTGTGATCCTTTTCAGACTGAGATACTGACTGCTACGTCAGATGTTCCTCCTCAGGGAACCGGTTAGTTTCCCCGGTCTTAATGTGAAACGTGGGAGAGCACAAGGGGGCAGGAAACAGGATCTGGACGTTAGCCTCTACTTCTCCCACTTAGAGGATGGCCAAAGAAATAAACCTGTCACCCTCTGCCATCCATATCTGGTATCTGGAGAAGCATCCATCACCTAGACACTTTCTGAAATTAACAGCCCTTGCTGCAGTTTGTACAGCTTTCCAAAGAAGCAATGAAAGTTACAGTTTTCTGATGTATTAAGAACTCAAGGGAAACCTTCAGTTCCTCACAAGTTATTCTGAAGGTATTTTAACTCTGAAAGACCACCAGTCATAAGTATTCAAATTTTTATTTAAAAAAAAAAAATCTCATTTTGGTTGTACAGAAGAAAACTCCCGTCTAGCCACCAAACAGCATCAGCTCCAGAGCAGAGAGGCTCAGGCAGTATTAAAGTCACCTGGCATGTTATACTTAGCATTAACTGCAGGGCACAACTACAGACTTTCAAAAGGTCTAACCCATTGCCAAAGAACAACCCTTCCAATCCCTGAAGCGGATTCCCCGAGGAAAATGTAATTTCATAGGCTGCAGGCATCCCTCCCTAGCTGCAGGTACAAACAGTGCACCAACTGCAACAAAGTATCACCAATATATTGGTACTGGACAGATACTAGCTCAGAAAAAAGAAAAGTCTGAAAAAAATAATCTAAAGTGCTTAAGGCAATTATTCATATCCCCATTTACTAAAAACAATTAGACTAGCTGTTAGCAGCAAAAATTTGACACCTGTGCAAACTATTATAGAACAAATTCATCCTTTAAGGGTAAAATGTCACATGTTAAGTACAACTAGGACATCAGTTAAACTAAAACTTGCAAGTCACAAGTCACAGTATGAAATACTTCAAGCTTTCTTCTAACTGTTAAAGAAAAATTACATTTTTACATTGTGCATATCAAAAGGTTGCACTACATCTTGCTAAAAAAACTTTGTCATTTAAATGCTCTTATGTAGGGTTGGAGATTACTCGTGGTTCTTTCTGACTACACATTAACTTACTGTAAACATTCCCTTTCTTTCTAAAAAGGGAAATTTAAATAGGAACTGTAGCTGAACACCCAAGATCAAGCTGTTGACTGGGCAGCACGAACAGGTACTAGTCTATTTAGATGTCTGTTTACCACAGTCATTCAATAGAACAAGTCTCAAAACAAGAAGCATCCACCTTAACTCTCCTCTCTCTGATCACCACCAGGGTCCAAGCATGCAAGTCTCACTCCCTCACATACCACTGAATTCACAGCAGCTGAGCCCCTAGAAGTCCCAGACAGGTGTTCATTGCAGTAAAAAGGAAATAAATGAGTAAGAAATACTTAAGATTACCACACAGACTATTTGGGTAATCACAACATCTGTAGGTAATGTATGAAACAGATTCAGACACTGCTCATTTAAGAACCGTGTCACCTTCCAGTATCTTTGTTTCAAGACCCAAGTTTCAAAACACTAAACTGGCAGAGGAAGGTACAGTTAAACTGGGATTTGCTTTGCACTTCCCCCTGCAAAAGAGGTTACAGCTAACTTTGTTCACAATGCAAATATTTAGAGACACTCAACTTCCAGATATAAAATGAACATTAAGGGCTCAACCATCCTGTCAACTTCATGATTTCTCAATAGAAACAAAAATTTTAATACCTGCTCTAGAAAGTAAGAAGAAAATTTAATTTTTCTGCTGAACATCATAACCACTTAATTATGAGTTGTTTCAGGGGATTTCTCATTCTCTTGAGATATCTTGATGGACACAAAGGACACATTGATACTAACAAGATTTAACATGATTAGATGGTTGTGTCTTTATGGACTAGAAGATAGACAGAAGAAAAAGTACTTTGGCCCTGTAGGAAAGGAGCCAATTCATTATGGACCCTGTCACCATGAATTTGAAAGATTTTTCAGGTGATAATAGGAAAAAATCTTCAGTTCGGAAACAGTTGATTCAAGTGCGTATCTAAACATTATTTCTAGGCTCCTGGACTTGGTTAGAGGGAAGAAAGCAGATTTAAACAGTCTATAATACACAAGTAATTCTCATTGAAAAGTTGAGATCCTCCATGAAGAATATAACATGATTTTTTTTAGCTCTCCTACTATTATGAATCATTTGACTATTGTTACTAAGCTTCCAACTATGAGTTGAGATGATGGAACTCCCAGCCTCAACATTCCACTTCCTTTGTGAACCAAAATGTATAACCGCAGATCCAGAAGCAGATCATGTTAGCTGGCAAAGCATTTGCTCGCTTTCCACTTTTTCCTTGTCCTTAAAAAAGGGGGAAGGCATTAAGCTGGAGGCTATAAAGAGATCCTTTAGAATATGATCCTCTGAAAGCTAGTCTCATATCCACATATATATGGCATATGGTACAAGCTAGCAAGTTAAGAGTGGGATGCTATATATATCAGCTACATTTCTGCCAGATAAAGAAATCATGCAATTTTTGGACTTCTCTGGTTATCCAGAATGTTCCAGGAATCCTTACTAGGCTAGTCAAAACAAGTAGCAAAAATGTGTGCCTGGGCTCAGAGGGTACTGCCCCATCACCAGGAATTTAGTGTTGCTTCTGCTCAAAGCCAGTTTGATATTGACACAGCTGTTTGAGAAGTCTTAGCCAGCCTTGAAGCTGGCTTGAGAAAAAGTTGAAAGGTGTTTTAGCAATAGCACCTCCCCACACACCATCTTCTCTGGAGAGATGCATTTAAACTGAAACTCTCACACCCTCGCTCCCAGCCTCAGCTGCATGACAGCTTTGCTATCGGCAGACAAAGATTCAATTCGTCATTCACATCTGATGAACAGTGTGAATTGCTGATTATCCAAATCCAATTAGAATAATGTCACAAAACTGGAAAGCCAAGAGATGACCCAAAATTAAAAGCTTCTGAGACAGCAGTACCATGCTGTAGTTTTTAAAAAGCTCTGGATTTTTGGTTCTGAACCTCTTACCTGAAATACTTCCTAGCTCAATGGCTGGCTATCATAATGCATCTTCACTGAGGACATAAGAATGTTTTTAAATACCTTTATATTTTTACATTTTCTGTAATTTGTGATAAACAGGAGCCAAACTCTAAATATATGATATTTAAATGAGTTACTCATGGGAAATAGGAGGATTTTGTAGTGGGGCGGGGGGAGAATCACAGACTGCTCTTACTGTTTCTTCATATCAAGCCTACAATTTCTTATAATATTCTTTTGAAATCATACTGCTGTGATGTTTTACCAGGCTAGGATAGCAAATTAATGTTCTTTTGAAATGCATGTTTGATATCACAAGTTCTAATGGTAAGCCCGGTAATAATAAAATATATTATCATCAAGTAATTCATGTTAGGAGAGCTAAGAAAATGGTATGTCATATTCTTCATAGAAAAATAATATTCATAACAAAAGTAATATTCCAGTCCATAACAAAATGCTTAAATACAGTATTAGAAAAGTACATAGTTACAGGTCTTGATTTCTCTATTTGTTTTTCAAATAGGCAACAGTTCAGTTTTCTGTCTGACATTTCTGTCTGGATTCACAGTAGGTTCCCAATACTTTAGCCCCAAACCTTTGCACTATCAGCACCCAAGGCCTTAAACAGCAATAGGTAGAAAACCCAGTTTAATCCAATGCTCACAAGCTTCTGTGAGTAGCAGCTACACAGAAAAAAAACCATTCAGCAATAGAAGTGTTTAATAGACATTACTAGGCAATATTGTTTAGGCTGCTTGTTGAACCACTCAATCCATTTTCACTTTTCTGGAGCGTTTTCACAGCACTTGGCACCTGCAATCCAGTACTCACTGTAAGCCCACCACACCAGATCTAAGGGAGAAAAAAAGAAAAAAAAAAATTAAAAATCGATATTCTGACCATCATGAATCATCTACATCTCTCTTCTCCCGTTCCACAATGGAACACAAAACTTATCCTGCAGCTGCATTTGTCTTCTCTCTTGCTCTCTAGTCACAGTACCCTGTAAAAAATTCTAATCACACAGAAGCTAATTTTTAAGACCATAAAGTCTAAGATACTTCACATACTATGCTTTATGACTAAGTTTATAACCAAAGTCTAAGATCTAATACTAAAATACTTGCTCCTAATAGGAAAACTTATTTGAAGACTGATGTGCTAGCAGCAAGTACTTAGAATGACAATGAAAAGCAATAGTCACACTATGTTCCAGGGTCTGAAAGCAGTGCTTAGTTTTAGTATGATACGACAAAATTATGTAACATAGTGCAAAAAAATTATGTTTTGAGAAGCTTCAGGGGCACAGGTGCCAGTGACCTCTATTCTACAACTGAGTTACAGGAAGGAATGTATCTCCACATTTAGGAATAAATTTGAGAGCTGTAATTAAGGAGCTTGTCATTTTTATTTTAACTGTTCAGGCTAACCGAAGCAGTGTCTACAAGGCTGCTATCACTAAGTACTAGGGGCTGTATGAGATGCAGACTAATAGGCTGAAGTGTGGTATGCAAATGTTTCCTTGGATGCCTTAGGAACTGACTTAATGAGTCAGCCTTAGCAATGCTGACTGGGATGACTAACACGTATCCCAACAGTTCTGAAGCTGTTTCTGTTCCCCGTATGTTGAAAAGTATCAGTAAGGCAACTTGCTTAGTCACCTCCAAATAAATAGCTATAACAATCTAGACTCCTATTGTCAGTACATCTAGCCAACAGCAGAAATTGTGAAAGGAATTCTGTCTGATACAAGTGAAAAATCAGGTGTTTGGAAATGCTAGATATAAGGCTGCCTGAGCAAGTTACTACTTTTCCATTCCTCCTCCACGCCCAAAAGAAGAATCAACTGTATTAATTGGCATAATTATACTTTAAAATTGTCATGCTGTGCTTTCTATGGGCTGAATTACAAGAGGCTAGAGATCAGTGCCTAGGCAACTGAGTTGGTCCTATGAACTAGCATTCTAGCCTCCTCCAGATTCCTAAGTTTTCCCAGACCTATACCCTGTCCTTTTCCTATGCATTTTTTGCAAGGTTTGAGTCTTTAGAATTGCAGCAAGTTTTCACTGATTAGCATAGAACCACAAAAAAGTTATGCAGACCAGCGAAATGACTGGCAAGAAAATCCCACTGAACTTCTAAAGATTTGAAAGGTAGAGTCTTGCATCTCAGAGGGAAGCATCTGCTGTTGTTCTGTCTCATGACACCTGCTCTGACAGTCTGCACCATCCCAGGCTCCTATCTGCATCAGTTCAGGTCAATTATTGTAGCAGGCTCATCAGCTACAGGAATGTGCTATTAATTTACCCTATAAAAATTTAATGACTTTTATTTACATAGCTGAGACATCCAGGTGCAGACTTCTCCTATTGGAGTGCTATTATAAGCACACATGAAATCAAAAAGAAAACAATTAAACATCTTCTAAATTGTTAGCCAAAAACAGTGCTCCCAGTTTCTTCCTTCAAAAAACAATTATGTCTTCAGTAAACCAAATTCAGTACTAGAAACTGAACAAAATTTTACAGATACTGACCATGAAGCCTGGTAACAATGGTTGGGTAAACTTTGTTCTGAAGGTGTGTAACAGCTCCTTTGAGTTTGCATTATAAAATGCAAGCTGACCTAAAAGAGGCAGAAAACAATTTGAAATACATGTTTAAATGTTATTGCTGTGTAACTTTTTGTAAAATTGACTCTCTTCCAGGGAAAGGTTTCCAAAACACACTAAATACAGTCCACATGACTGAAAAATTCTCAGTTAGTAGCTCTGTCACACAGGTGAACCCAGGTCATATGACATTACAAGCAGTATTATGGCAAACAGCTTTGGGCCTTATTTTCACAAAACATTGTATCAATCTGGAAGTAATGTACTACTTCAGCCTTGTACTGCTTCAACTTGACACAGATAGCTAACTAAGTTTTAGCTCAATCTCCTAAGATTGTAATTTACCTCCATCAAAGTCGCAGTATACTCCTATTCTGTCTGGAACAGGTATATCTAGAGTTTTGGTTTTATTGTTATGTTTTGCTGAAAGTGTGGTTTGCAGCCAGTTGTTGATATGGATGCACCAGCTTGAATTCGTCTTTCCCAGCTGGTCAAATTTCCCCATGTTTCTGTATGTTACTCCCACACTGTAGGATTTGCAGTCCTTCTGGGCTCTCACCTCCCAGTAATGCTGTCCACTTTCAATAGCAGTGTCTCCTACCAAAAAAAAAAATATATTTAGTTGCTATAATTAAATGTACCTTACAATGCTTGCTTCCTTATAGGCACCAGTGATGTCTTCTCTTTTATTTTAAGGTGAAGGCTTAGAAATACAAAAATCTAAACTATAAGGAACAAAAAATTTCATGTACAAGAGAACAGAATGTAAATATAAAATAGAACAGTGAGAGTTTTTACTTACACTCATTAAGACAAGATACATTTAACATCAATTCACATTTAATAGCAGTGAATGTTAATGACTAAGAGCTTTGTAATAAAGAGCTTCAACAGACCTGAAGACACTTGCTGTAGCAAAACTACCTCTGTGCAGCACAGCATCAAGTACCCAGCCTTGAACAATCACAAGTTTTCCCTCAAATTCTTACCCAATCTGCCTTTCCACAGCATTACACCTCTAACAGAAGTTAAAAGTTCACCTTACCCAACACTGTGTATGATTCACCAGTAAAATGATCTCTGCTGCCCCTCGCTGAGGATCTTGCACTAATAGATGTCCTCTTTGGAGATGGTGCACCACTTCTAGAAAATGAACCATTCAAGATTTGGACACAATTACAGAAATGTACACTCAAACAAGTTTTCCCAAGTCAATTAGGGTGCTATAAACATACATAAGCTACTGAAATGACACATTACTTCAGCCACTTAACACCTCTAACAGTATGCATGCACAAAAACTGAGAGAAGATATGACAGCCAGAAAAAATACAAGACGTTGTAGCAAACAAAATCAGAGGCAGCTGAGAAAGGAAAAAAAGCAGATATGTGGCACATGGTTTGAATGAATGCCTGTATAAAACAGTGTTTTGCCTGTACTACACGGAGCCTTGGAGAATTCATCTTTCTGGTTTTCCACATAAGACTTCTAATACATCTTGTAGATCAGCTACAACAATGAGGTAAGTGTGAATACACTACTGGTAATGCCAAAATGCCTAATTTTCACTGGAATTTAAATATTGGTGAATGGGAAAATAACATCACTTGTGTTAAAGGTAGGGGGTTTTGGCACATGTACAGCTTCTATAAGCAATGACTGAAATCCCAGGAAAAAGTACAACCCAATTGTCCTGGTTTCAGCTGGTATAGAGTTAATTGTCTTCCTAGTAGTTGGTACAGTGCTATGTTTTGGATTCACTATAAGAATGTTGGTAACACACTGATGTTTTCAGTTGTTGCTAAGTAGTTCTTAGTCCAAAGTCAAGGATTTTTCAGCTTCTCATGCCCAGCCAGCAAGAAGGCTGGAGGGGCACAAGAAGTTGGGAGGGGACACAGCCAGGGCAGCTGACCCAGACTGGCCAAAGGGGTATTCCATACCATGTGATGTCATGTCCAGTATATGAACTGGGGGGAGTGAGGGTGGAGGGATCACCACTCAGGAAGTAACTGGGCATCAGTCGGCAGGCGGTGAGCAATTGCATTGTGCATCACTTGTATATCCCAATCCTTTTATTATTACTATTGTAATTTCATTAGTGTTATTACCATTATTAGTTTCTTCTTTCCTGTTCTATTAAACTGTTCTTATCTCAACCCATGAGGCTTACCTATTTTTTTTTTTCTCCAATTCTCTCCCCCATCCCACTTGGCAGGGGCAGGGGGGTGAGTGAGCAGCTGTGTGGTGCTTAGTTGCTGGCTGGGGTTAAACCACAACACGAATGAAGAATTAAAGGAATAAAATTCTGATAATTTTATTTCAAAATAGACATCCTAAAGATGATACAAAACCCAAGAGTGTCAACTCTAAACATAATTTATATGAAAAAAAAGATGAAGTGAGACTTCCAGAGTTTAATGCAGCACACCTCTTCTCAAAAAAAAAAAAAATCAAAACCAAAAGTATATTGAAGGGTGGGGATTTATCTGATTATATTAACTCTATCAAAGACTACACAAAAGAAAATTGTGTCACAATACATTGTGCTGAGAAGCACACAGCAAGTCCTCAAGAGTCACTACAAAATTTAAGAGTCTAATCCCAATCAAGAAAGTCTTAGATTTTCTAATCATACTTTTCAAAAGCATTCTCAGGAAGCAACAGCAAAATAAATGGAAGACACACTTCACTCTGGAGAATACTCTAATGAGCAATCAGTTGCATAAAAGAATAATTTTCACCTAATGAGGTTTTCAAACATTTTATTTTACCTCAGTTATGCCCTCAAAAATAATTCCTAGCAATTTAACAATTAAACAAAATGAAGGCTATATGCAAATTACAGTGAATATTAAGCCTCAGTAGCCAGGGAATCACATCTGGTTATTATTTTAAAGGCAATCAGTAGGAAAGAATTTTAACTTCTCAGAAATAGCTATGCAGTTTACAGTTTAATTTCATAGACGAAAAAATTTAAAAGTACAAAATAAGTCTCTGAAATACACATGTGAAATAATTTTCAAATCCTCATCCTCTGTAGTCCATCAAACATTAGCCTTAGAAGAGTTACCACACACAAAAGAAAGTTTTCTCTCCAACTTTGCCTTCAGCTGGTAAAGCTAATTGCTACTTAAATGTCTACTAATACAGTGAAGTTTAGCTTGTTTCCTTTCTGATTCAGTCAATACTGATTTCAAGCTTTCTGGAACTGTTCTCAAATACCATTTCATAAAGGGTTAGAAAATGTCCCTTTTGCCTAATACCTTCATTAAAATAAAGTCACATGGGAATCAAAAGCTGAGTTGTATTAAGCTGTCATACATAAGCATGCTAGAATCTCTGGTTCATCTTCATGACTAAATCCGTTTCATTCCAGTTACAGAAGTCTACAAGAAATCACTGACGAAAAGGTTGTCTACTTTAGCATCACCATTTAGCATATAAGTTTGCCAGTACTGATCAGAAGAGAGCTGAGCTTCTAAATTGCTTGCAAGAGTTACATGAAGGGAGTAAGCATACGTTGTGCAGGTGCACCACATCAAATGCTTTTGAATTTTGTTAACATGGAGGAAGCTACAATTTACTTACCAAAGAAAAAAGCAACAAGTGATAGCATGAAAAAAAGAAAAGGTAAAGCCAAGAATTAAAGCATAATTTCAGGGGGAACCATCACTCTTTGCAGATTCCATTCTGCTTCAAGTGTATCAGAGATGATTCACTCACAGTGCCAAGAAAAGCTGCTGAAATTTTCTATTAGATTCAGTATAAGTGAGTTACACAGAAAGCAATGTGGCCATTTAGAGAATCACCAGAAGAAAAATATGCAAGTGCTTTGCTAGTATTTTCTCAAAGTTAGGGAGACATTAAAAGGTTCTCAATACTACTCATTTTGTTCAAGTCTTCTGTAAATGGCCACTGCACGTGCTTTGTCCACTCAAAATCTTAACAGCCTTTACCAGTTCAGACAATGACATTAAATATTTGGTATAAAAGTTTGAAAAAACAGGTTTTGTTTGGTTTTCTTTTTTTCTCAGTGCTTAATTCTCCCTTCCAATAGGAAAAGGCAGGAAATTTCATAGCAGATAGTTTGGTTCCCATTTTCCCATACAACACAGTCTTCATTAGCTAGTATAGTAACGGATGCATTTCTTCCACTATTCAGTGACCAGATATTCTCATCTTATGATTAGGATTGTAGCCTACAGCACTGCAGTTAGTCTCAGTTTTCTTACCCATTTCAGCAAATAAAAAATATTCCAAGCAATATGTATTCTCTTTTGGAGAAGAAAGGTCAAGGAGGGATATCAGAAGTTATCCAGAGGCTTTTTTTTCTACTCTAATAAATGTTATAGATCATTACGCATTTTATTGCCATCATGTCTTTCCAACCCTTTGAAAGCTTCACATTGGATGTTTAAAACAATTATACTGCAACTCTTTCCACCAACTATGGAGCTAGCTTCAAATTTTCTCTCTAATGCAGACAATATTGCACAGATACTCTTTAACAGGGAACAAAAGCCTCCTGCAAGAATCAAAGCTCATCCGAATCTCTTGCTAGAAAAGGTCAGCCTGAGATGCAAAGTTGAACATATGAGCATGTCCTTCTACCAAAGCAAAGGCCAGAACTAGGGAAGTTCTTTACTGACAACCACAAAGGGAGTCCAAGGTATAAGACACCCAGAGTTTGTTGAGCAAGTAATGATATCTCCAAGGCAGTTTTAAAACTTAGTTTAGCAGAAATTGATACAATTTGTGTAGTAGAATTACTGACACTGCACAGCTTCAAGAGCTTGTTTTGCCTACACAAGCTTTTTTTTACTGCTGATCTTAAGCCAAAGATATACCCACCTGATGGATGAATACAGAGGAGTAGAACGTATAAGAAATTAGGAACCTGGGCATTTGTTTTGGTCCCACAACTTCTAAACCAGTGAAAAAGAGCAAGAGAGCAAGAACGGGAGAAGTAATTTCTCAAACTGGAGTACTACTAGAAAAATCATGAAAAAAATTTACACTAAAAACCACAATTGCACAAGGAATAGGAGAGTATTTCAGCTGCCTTTACATATCAAAAAAGAGGTTCTCATTTGAACAATTAGTTCCACAAGTAGAATTGCCATGAAGCTTTTTACACATGCCATCAGGCTAAACTTTATCCTCTTTGTAAGTGTAAAAACACTTACTTCTTTTCCTCTGATGTCTAGTAACAGCTATAGCACAAGTTTGGAGGCAAAAAGGTTTTCAGATTCAAAAATAAGAACTAAAACAACTGAAGTTCTCAGAAAGGAGCTCTTTTCTGCATTTGTAAAAAATTCAGTGTGCCATCATGTGCCAGAAGATTAAGTAAGCATCAATATATCTGTAAGTGTCCTGGTTTCAGCTGGGATGTAGTTAACTGTCTTCCTAGTAGCTGGTACAGTGCCATGTTTTGAGTTCCGTATGCGAAGAATGTTGATAACACTGATGTTTTCAGTTGTTGCTCAGTAGTGTTTAGACTATAGTCAAGGATTTTTCAGCTTCTCATGCCCAGCCAGGGCACCTGACCCAAACTGGCCAACAGTGTATTCCATACCATGTGACGTCCCATCTAGTTTAGGAACTGGGAAGTGGGGGGCAGGGATTCGCCGCTGGGGGACTTGCTGGGTGTCGGTCAGCGGGTGGTGAGCAATTGCCCTGTGCATCATTTGTACATTCCAATCCTTTTATTACTACTGTTGTCATTTTATTAGTGTTATCATTATCATTATTAGTTTCTTCTTTTCTGTTCTATTAAACCGTTCTTATCTCAACCCAGGAGTTTTACTTCTTTTCCTGATTTTCTCCCCCATCCCACTGGATGGGGGGGGAGTGAGTGAGCGGCTGCATGGTGCTTAGTTGCTGGCTGGGGTTAAACCATGATAGTAAGTAACAGCGATCTTTGTATCAACACTAGAATACATAATGCTCTTCCAATTATTGCAAATCAGGTCTCCCACACACTAGGAAGGATGCATCCTTCCAGGTATATTGCTTTCTGGTCAGTGGAAAATATATACATAATCTCTATGAATCCAAATTAAACTTCAAAATAATTTTTAAAAGCATATGTGTACTGTTACTGATAAAGGCTATTAGATTTCTCACTATGTCAAGCAAAGGAAAGTAGCATAGACCCCCAACAAAACCAGGAGCTAGATCCTAGGAATAAAAGGTATATTATCACCTTCTATTGCTCTTCAGCAGAGGATTCTGGCCACTGTCAACAGAAATAAGTAGTCATTAAAGAACTCCTCTATTACTATAGTAAGTTATCCCCATTTTTTAGATGCTGTTAAAACTTATTCTACCATGCTTCTGGCAGTATATGCCTATAAGGAAGGGATTTGTTCATAAATTATCTCAAGCAGTGCTCTTTATACCACAAAGCACATGTTCAAAGTCAATTAATTGCCTTTGAGGAAGAAGTAGCCAGCTCTGTGGACAAGGCAAGAGAAATGGACACTGTTCACACCTTGACTTTAGCAAGGCTTTTGACCCATTCCCACCTCAAAAGACTGGGTAGTGGGTCATAACAACCGTGTACAGAACCAGTTGAACACCAGGCTCACAGCTACGGATAGTATTTTCCAGACGAGAGAATCCCACACAACAAGACAGGCTGGGGGACAACTGAGGGAAGAGCAATTCTGCAGAAATGCAGTTGGGAGTCTTGGTGTACAACCAGAGCCGACAACAGGTGGACAACAACAGTGGGCAACACACTGCACTATGCCCTTGTGGCAGAGGTGGCCAACCACTTCCTCGGCTGTAGCAGCAAGACAGCAACCAGAAGGCCAAGGCAAGTGACTCTTCCTCTCAGTTTGGCACTTGTCAGACTGAGTCTGAAGACTTGTGTCCAGATCTGGGATCCTCAGGACTATACAGTGACATACTAGAGCAAGTCCAGTGGAAGGCCAACAACAAATTAAGGGACTGGAACACAGGAAGACAATTGGGTTTGCTCAGCCTCAGGAAGGCAAGAGATAATTACTGTCTTGAATGACATAACAGGAAGGTACAGAGAAGACTGAGTCAAGACTGAGTCAGGCTTTTCTCAGAGGGGTGCACTCTGATAGCTGGGAGGCACCTGGTACTCATTGCACCACAGGAAATTCCAGTCAGATATCAGGATACTCCTCCCCTCCCATGAAAGCAGCCTGGGAATAGAGGCCTAAGCAAGTTAACACACTCTTCATCCTTGGATATATTCAAGGCTCAGCCAGAGTAGACTGATCTAGTGATGTTCTTCAAACCATATTCAGTGATTCTGAACAGCACACATCTAAGTGCCCAACACTCAATAATCTACTAAGAATTCTGTTGAAGTTACTTAAGTACTTTTCCTAGATGAAAATAGTTGGTAAACATGTTTAGTGCTGCCACTTTTACAAGAGTTATGTTCCACTATCCATTATCTTTTGCTATCAGGTTTGTTTCATTGGTACCTCTACCTCACCAATGTGGGTTATGAGATAAATTCAACCACCACCTACCTATATTACCAGTTTTATTTAACCTTATGCTTTTTCAAAAGGACAAAGCAGCCAGCTCTTTCCTTATTTTTTATAGTAGAAAAGCTTTCTATTCACCAGTACTGACCTGCAACACCACTAAATATAGAATTACATCAGTTGCTTACTGACATTTACCTTATCTACTGTATTGGGTTTGCGTGGCAAGGTTTTGGTAGCAGGGGCACTGCAGGGGTAGCTTCTGTAAGAAGATGCCAGAAGCTGCCCGCACATCAGATGGAGCCAATGCCAGCTGGCTCCAAAATGGACCCACCACTGGCCAAAGCTGAATTAGCGACAGTGGTAGTGCCACTGTGATAACATATTTAAGAAAGAGTAAAAACTGCTGTGCAGGAGCAGCTGGGAGACAGGAGTATAGCTAACCTGCACCCTGTGGAAGACCTCACATCAGGGCAGGTGGATGTGCCCTGAAGGAAGCTGTAGCCCATGGATAGGCCACATCGGAGCAGGTTTGCTGGCAGGACCTGTCGCCCTATGTGGGACCCACACTGTAGCAATCCATTCCTGAACGATGCACCCTGTGAAAAGGACCCACACTGGAGCAGTTTCTGAAGGACTGCAGCCTGTGGGAAGGGCCCACGTTGGAACAGTTTGTGAAGGACTGTCTCCCTTGGGTGAGACTCCATGCTGGAACAGGGGAAGAGTGTGAGGAAGAAGGAGCAGCAGAGACAACACATGATGAACTCACCATGACCCCCATTACCTGTGCCCCTGTGCTGCTTGCAGGGAGGAGGCAGAGAGTTCAGGAGTGAAGTGGAGCCTGGGAAGAAGGGAGGGGTGAGGGCAAGGTATTTCAAGATTTGTTCTTATTATCCTACTCTGACTTTTGATTGGTGGTAAGTTAATTTAAATTTCCCCAACTCAAGTCTGTTTTGCCTGCGACAGTAATTGCAGAATGATCTCCCTGTCCTTGTCTCAGACCCACAAAGCCTTTTGTCATATTTTCCTCTCTCACTGTCCAGTTGAAGAGGGAAAGAGCAGCTTGGTGGGCACCTGGTGGCTACTCAAGGTCAACTCACCACATCTACAAGTTATTCCAGTGCCTTGAATGATACCCTAACAAATGTATTTTAAAAAGAACTAAATCCTATTTAATGATTAAGACACATTTCTAATAGCATCCATAAATAGCCTACACATCTGTGTGACTGGGGAAGGGAAATAAAAAACTTAAAATTTCTTCGAGAGATTTCTGAATGAAAATTCCTTTGGTGTCCCACTGTCCTCAAGTGCTTTAACTCCCCCCGCCTTCTTCCCTTAACTGCCAGACAAGACATCCCAGACAACATAAATATATGCAAAACAGCTCTTACCTGCTTTTATTTTCCTTCCCTTTTATTTTTTCTTGGCCTTTGCCTCCAGTAGGATCCCATTCAACATAGGTATCCTCAACCTTCAAGTTCAGATGAGATGAAGTACTGTCCAAACTGAACACAAATGCTGGTCAAGACAAAATGCAAAACAGTGAAATGGTATAATGCTCTCTTCCAACAGTGGCTATTTATAGAAAATGATAGAAGCTGTGGTAGAATTGTAGCAGAACACTATTTGACTTAATAGAGGCATCAACTTTTTAGTCTGATGTTTGTAACCACGGTAAGGAACCCTTTAAATAAAGCCCAACTACCTACTTTGGTGTAGCCTATGCACTGAAGGTGAGTTTTTTCATCTTTATAATGCTGCAGTATCAGCAATTAAATTCAGCTAGTGCCTTCTGCTAGTTACAGCCTACTCCCTAGATTCTTACAATCACACATGATTTAAAAGCGTATGCTTATTTTCAACACTCTGCAGCACTGATTCTCCAACAAGGTGTTTATGATTAATAAGGATTGCAAACTTGGAGAATACTAAATTGACAGGGTAGCACATACAGGCAGAGTTGAACTGTGAAGTCAACTGCAGATACAAGAACAATAGAGGGTACATGCAACTAGAAGAGACTTTGTATTTATTGCAGCCAAGTCCTTCATGCAAGAAAACAAAACTAATAAACATCTTTAGGGAACTTAGTATGTTGTATTTACAGAGTGTTCTGTAAGTGTCCTAATACCATCAGATATTATAGTCTTATTCTGAAAGAAAGTATACTTGAGATTTTTAAGAGTTTAGACCTCAATAGTACACAAGTTTAAAAACCAATAAGGTAAGCACATGGACAGGGATACTGAGTTTCTATGGGCTGATTATTAAAGAAAGTAAACTAAACGTTCACACAGCAATAACAAAAATAATATGGGAAGCATGATAACTGCCCAAATAATCAAAATCAGAATTATTTTTCTGGTACTGGAGTAAGGAATGTAAGTGGCTATTAAATGGATACTATATATCTGACAATGACTGTTGCTTAAGAGTATTAAAACTGTTTTAGAAAAGTTACCAAAATGCCCATCAGCTCATTCATTTTGCATATAGCTTTGTTTTCATAAAGTAACATTTACAAGTAACACAATTTATATTTTAATTGTCCAGTTCATATCAGTCGTTTTGGCCTTTACACTACACATTTGGCTATAAAGCCTCAGCATCATTATCTCCACCACAGTAGTTAAAACATGTGTTCTGTCACAAAACACCACTTCCAAGAAATTTTTCTTCTAGTTTAATTACAAAATGATGTTAGGAAGCCACCATCCTCAGACCAATTGATTACTAACACAATGACTTAAGAACTTCAGCAATTTGGAGCTGCCTATTTTTTTTTTTTTTAATATTGACAGTGATTAGACTTTACAGGTACAAAGTCAAAAAAATCCTTTCCAGCACCTTTTATTTACAGAAAGCTATTACCTGTCACATCCCAAGTACCAATCACCAGCCAACTACACCAACAGTTTAGATGCCATAAGAGTCCTACTGATGCTCAGCCACAAGGTTCGCCTTCTCTTGCCATATGTTGGCATGATGTAGTGGCACATAATATTGTCAATCCACAGATCAAAACAATCAATGTCAAACCCTGTTGGAAAAGTTACATCACTACCTCATTTTTAGTGTCTGAATGCTAGAAGGCCAGATTTGTGCCAATAAGATTCTTAATCCTTTAAAGAAATGGTTGTCTTCCTTTTCACTTAGGACACATTTCAGCAGTGCTCATGCAGAAGCAGACTTAACATACAAGTTCATATATGAAGGCAGAACAGTAAGCACAGGGTTTTCACTACATCTAAGGTTAAGAGTCTTTCAAATTTTACCTTTGGTTTCCAGGGTCACAGGATCAGAGTACTCCCCTGCCACAGCTTTGTTGCAAGCTTGTACTCTAATGTTGATGTATTTTGTATCAAATTTCAGACCTAAAAAGTGAATGTTTAGAAACTTGAATTGATATTAATTACTGACAGTTTTTACAAGACTAAGATCTATTCTATGTAGCTGTCTTCCATTTATCTCAATCTGCAAAAAACAAGCTTAAATATCAGTGTGAACTTCATTTAACACGATATTTTATAAAACTTCAAAGTCAAAATAAAAGGCAGAGCCATTACTGTACGAAGCACCCAAGACTAACGTGAAACAATAGAAGCTTCATTACATACAGGAAAATGAGTATTTTGCAAAACTTCCAAGCATAAAGAGTTATACCAATATTCTTGGTTTTGAAGTATAAAAAACCCCTTTACCTGATAATGTATATTCAGTAGCTTTAATATAGTCTATCAGTTCCCAACGCTGTTCATCTTTTACTCGAGGAAGCCCATCAAAGTTGGTTTTCCTATACTCCAGTACAAAATGATCAATTCTGCTGTCTTCTTCAGGCATTTTCCACGATACTGTTATGCAGTTGTCAGCAACCAGACATGCTTCTAGATCTATCTCTGGAGGTTTAGGGACTGCAGAAAGACAAATATACAGATCAGTTTAAAAAGAATGGACTGAATATTAATTTATTCTCCTTGGATGTATAGAGTTCAGAAGTTGCTCTTGGCCCAGTAACATTCCTTTTAGAGGATCTATTCCATTAGCAAAGCACGATAGAAGACTAGGCATATCACTTTCACTTAGCATGCATTTTACAAAATGAGAAATACAAATTAGCTCTAGAGTGAATATTTGCATCACATTTTCCAGAAGTTTGTTTTGTCACTAAGTTGGTGTGATCGCCTTCTGGAAGCAGTAAGAAAGACATGCTACAATAGAGTGGACTTGGAATTATGAACCTACATTTAGAATAACACTACACAGGAAGAACATTAAGAAGCAAAGTTTTATTTGAGTCTTTGGAAGGTAAGTATAGCTGCAGCCCTCCAACAGTATCATTTAAGTTTACTTTCCTGACTACGGACAACTATCAGTGTAAGTTTCCACTAGCCAATCAGCAGTTACCTAGTTTTCTTTCCTCTTCATCATTTGTCTTGAAAGAAGGGGAAAGAATTCCTAAGATTCACTAAAGAAAATACCGAACTTTTGTTTATAGACAATAGAAATCTACCTCCATGAAAACAAAGAGCACTCAGGTAATTGGAAAATGTTTTTCAAAAGAAGGTGTTTACATACTCTTCATAGTGTCCAAAGTACATTCAAGGAAGATTTTTGCTGGAGAAAGTGAAGATGTTTTATTGTGTGCAGTTTTTGGAGGAAGGATCAGCTTGAAATCTATATAAAGTGGCCTGCAAGTCAACATATCAAGCAGGAACATCAAACAGTACAATACTGATGCATCTGTGGAACTGACAGACCTGCAGATTTTGTCTGTTAAAAAACATCCCTCTTCATAACACTTAAACCCTTAACTGTGTTGATCTGTATAGGTATGCCCCAGTGACCAAGTCCTAATTACATACAGGTTGCCTTTATGCAGTTGAAAACTATTTCTTGAACAGATTGTTAGCCATGAATCCCCTCCACAATGACTGATGACAATCAGCATCACATTAATTATGGTTGAGACATTTAGAGATGTGTAATTTTACCATGCAGATCCAAACATCTCCTAGCTATAGCAGGTCCACTAGAAGCAGAAGGCCTGGTCTGCTTTATGCACACTACTTCACATCCTCCCACACTCTCCCTTCATGATCCATTCAAATATTTTAACCTAGCACTAGTGAAACGCACACTTTTACCCCTCACATCCCTGCAGTTCAAGCCAAGCAGGAATTACACTGAAACTCGTGGCAGAGGTTTAAAATGCTGAAGAACAAATAAGCGCCACAGAAGAGACTGAAAGCAAAAGTATTCAAGTCTGTACTGGTTTTGGCTGGGACACAGTTACGTTTCTTCATAGAGGCTTGTATGGTGCTATGCTTCAGATTTGTGATGAAAACAGTTTTGGTAACACAGGGGTTTTAGGCCTTTTCTGTTTCTCACGCTGCCCCATCAGCAAGTAGACTGGGGGTTCACAAGAAGTTGGGAGGGGACACAGCCAGGACAGCTGACCCCAACTAACCACAGGGATATCCCACACCGTATGACATTATGCTCAGCAATAAAAGGTGGGGGAAGGAGGAAGGGAGGGACCTTCAGAGTCATGGCATTTTGTCTTCCCAAATAACTGTTACACATGATGGAGCCTTGCTTTCCTGGAGATAGCTGAACATTTGCCTGTCAATGGGAAGTAGCAAATGAATTCACTTATGCACACAGCTTTTGCTTCACCTATTAAACTGTCTTTATCTCAACCCACAAGTTTTTTCATGTTTACCCTTCTCATTCTCTTCTTCATCGCACTGCGGCAGGGGAGAGTGAGCAAGCAGCTGTGTGATGCTTAGCTACCCACTGGGATTAAACCATAACAAATTCTCAAGTGTTGATCACATGCAGTTGCCATCAAATTTCAAAGTCATCCAACAATTCTTTGAGAATTACATCAGTAAGATCTCTTCTTAGGCAAAAGAAAAATTAAGATGAGGACAAGTATTTCAGAACATATACCTCTAAGTTTAGCTACCTACTCCCATTATTTTTGTCATGGTGTAACACCCGAGATAAAGAACCTCCCACATGTTTGGAGTGACCATAATTCTGGCAAGCAGTGTTCAAATGCATGCACTACCACAACACCAAACCTGTTTTCAATTCCCACACTAGGGCATCAGTATGAAGGTCTATCAATGCTCAGTGCAATTTTGCCTGCGACAGTTTGAACTATCAGTATTTGGTGTCAGAGTAATTTCATAGCTTAGCACTACAGTAGAAGAAAGCAAGATACCCAGACACTTAATTGTTCTGTCTACAAATCAAAGGCACAAACAATTTAAACTCCTGCATATTTGATACAGAAAGTGATGTACAAGAAAGGTCATACTAAATAATATCTTCATCTAGATATAAGACTTTGTTCATGCTTGCCATTATATCTTTGCACTCCCCTTCCTGATAAACAGGTACACTGTGATCAGCTTACCTACCTTGTTCCTTTATCTATGACATAGAGCAATGATTGCCAGCCAGAGTCTAAGACTAAAAGGTTAATTTCTGCCTAGACACTCCTAGTTGACCACTAGGAATAATGTTGGTAGTTTACTACACCTGCTACCACATACAGTACCTGTATCATACAAGATAAATGGGCAGAAATGTAAACTGATGCTGCCAAGTCCTTAACATATTTGGATTAGTGACCTAGAGATGAAACAATTTACGTCCCTGCTAGCATTACTCTTGTCAATATAGTCTTGGTATTAGTCAAGGGCAAAGAAGTTTAAATAGGAAAGCAATGTCAATAAAAAGACATTAAAGACATATACTGCACCTAAGTTTACTTTCAAAAGTAACAAATAGATGCATCAATACACATTTTGTATTACGGTAATATCACTGCCCTAGTAGGTTATCCCTCTCTCGCATTTCAGACCATATCACCACTCTTGTACGCAACATATTACCTTACAGTTCCATGCATAACTACTGCAGATGACTAGGACTTTGGAGTGTTACTAAGCATCAAGCTAGCAGATACAGTCCTGAGAAACTTAAAATAACTTCAGGAAGTACAAAGGAACTGACAACTCAAGAAAAAACACAGTCTGGAAGACTCATTCTTGCTTCTGAGATCAATGTTATTTTCTGAAATGCTATATTATGTAGAAATTAACATAATATAAATAGAAAACTCTTTTACCCTCAAGGTATTCAGCATGACATCCAATGAACAAGAATGAATTTAGGTACTCTGAAAAATTTGCTCATTAGGGTGCAAGAGGTATGCCTTTGTTTTGTTTGTTTTAAATATAGTAAATTGTTCATGTAGTAACAGATTAAACTCACTGTATACAGTTTTTACCTGGCAAAAACTTTACAGACTGGAGCATCCGCCTTTCCAGAGCGAAGTCCACCATCAAATGAGTCATACTATCACTGACCTTTGGTTTCAGAGAGATGCGGAACGCTGAAGCCATTGTGACTCTAAAGTCAAGAAAGCAGCATTAGCAAAATGTATTTTGCATTGTTTAAGTCCTATAGCCATTTTCAAAAACAGCAATCAGATAATCTGTATTGTTAATGTCAAACTGTTAGCCAAAATACTGATCAAAGACCAGAACATTCTTATAACAGATAACTGTTTACCATTTAGCACAGACTCCAAAATAGAAACTTTTGCTAATGTGACTGTCTCAAAGAGAACATGGTGCCAGCTTCCAGTTATTCCGTATTACTAGAAAAAGAAATACTAGGAGTGACTAGAGAAGAGCTTAAAACTTCTTTTACTAGTGAAAAAGACCTTGGATAAGAGACAAAACAAAACTCATATCACTTTACACAAAATCAGGAAGTATGAAAAACCTAAAGCACTGCAGAATCAGGATCACGTTTTATATACTTCAAAATTTGAAGCTTAAACCTTTAAAGAGGTCCAAAGACTTTCCTGCTTGACAAAACCCACTCATTAGCTCCAAAGTGCGTTTTCACATTAGATATTGCTCAGGAGGCATTTATAAATAGCAGTGAACAAGCTGAATATTCTGATTTCATATCTACCTCTGAACCTATGAGGGGATGAAGAAATGGTTAAGTTGCAGACACCATATTGCTTTGGAACATGCAAGTATCAGATCGTTCTTACAAGATACACTGAAGCACAGGTCCCATTTCCACTCCTGAAATCTTAGCTCAGTCCTTATTCTGAATACTCCTAAGACACTCCTGGACTCCATCAACTACACCACCAAAAAAAGGAGGACAAGTCTCTTGTACAGATCTGTAACTCTGAAAACATCAGGCCACACAGCAGAATTTGAATAACATTGATTCAGACAGCACACAGGTCCTAACTCCTGCTTTAAAAAACAGAGATTGTTAACTAGAAAGTAATATACACACCACAAAAAGTTAACTGCTAACACTTGCATCCAATTTACACCCACAGATCTGTGGCACCTTTAGAACACCTAATAGCTCACAGGAAGCGATACATTAAGTACTTCACTAGTATTGTGTACTAACTACAGGTACATTAAAGAATGGTGAAAACCAAAAAAATCAGGTAGTGAAGAAGGGGGAGGAAATATGAAGTTGAGTATTAAAGACAGAAGCATTACAATTTTAGGATATAAAACAATTATGACACTGAACTGAACATCATAAGAGACAGGTCAATTGATTTCCCAAGACAGAGTTGATGTTCTGAATTCAGTATGGGCTGCCTAGCAGAATCAACTGTTTAGCCAGATGGGCAGAGTAAATCTTAAGGAAGGATAATCCTCTAATTAGCAGTAAGAGAACACTGAGTAGTCAGCTTCAGACATCTTTTTAACTTCTGTTTAGACACTGATCTTAGACAGAGAACCAGCCACAATTGGTTCAAAAGGATTAAATCACACAGCACTTCAAGAAACTGGAAGAGTAAGAGGATGCTTATTACAGATAAAAAGTATTAAGATTCCTATCACTGCCACTATCCCTCTGATTTGTTAAGGACACTAAATCTTTACCCTTGAAAAGTAAAGATTAATTTCTCTAGCAACTACTCATTTTACAGAAAGCTTCAGAGAATTTAGACAATCAGACCCTTCCTTGAAAACCTGTAAATTGAAAGCCAACCTATTTGGTTCTTGAGAGCAACATCCACTAGAAACACCCTGTGAGCTGTCTTTCAAAATATTATGCACATTGTAGTAAGTTTTCCGAACCAGAAAGTCAGACTCTCAGAACATAGTTATTCCTCCAAGTGAAGAAAAACTGCTTTAGCATTTATTTTGAAACAGTAAAGTTTTGCTTTCTAAACAATAGTTTGAAGACATAGTTCAAAGAAATAGCAATTTCACTAACATTAGCCAGTGATGTCACCAGAAGTATTTCAACAGCTACAAGACCTTTTACACTCAAAAGGAAAATTAGCTAGCAAAAGTCTGTAAGTACTTAAAAACCCGCCAACAACAAGATTCTCCCATAATTTAAAGGGGCAGAGTCAGCTTGAAACATTATAAAATTTCACCCATCGGGTATAATAAATCAGAAGTTTAGTATTAATAATAATTAATGATGTATTGTCTTAACAGCAAAACCAAACAAAACCAAACAAAACCACTAATAGCTGCTGCAGAGCTCTACTTCCCTGCATTAAAAACATCTTTCCCTTTACCAAGGTATGAAAGGCCAACAGTCAGCAAGGAAAAACACTACATGAGAGGCATAGAAGTTTTTAGTTCTCTCTCAAAAGTTGTGATGTCACAACACTTAGGGAAGAGTCAATGAATTTAATTTAAGCTGACTATGACCCTTTCAAAATAAATGGATTTTTAAGGATAAGGTTAATTCAAAGACACAAAAGCAATAGACTTTGTACTGTACCTATCTTTGATCTGTCTGGCAGCCTTGATGCATGTCAGGAAGAAGAAAGAAAAAGTAGTTAGTATTTCCATGCAAGTATCAATTGCAGTAACATGCAAGAAGGCTGAGAACAATTTCAGCTGTATTGCTCAGATTTAAAGATCTAAATGAGTTTCACATTCCCATCAAAATAAGTTTTCCCATAAAGCATGTTAATAGTATTGGTTAGAACTGCAACAAGTATCACCTGGGAAAAAAATTCTCAAGAACCACACCAAACCAATTCCAAATTACTCAACATCCTGGGTGTGACTTTGTCTCTTCAGAATTCTCTTAATCAGTTAAGTTACTCTCCATCACATTTTAAAAGAGCTACACGACCAAGTAAGTAAAATTCAACTACCATGGTATTTTCTGTGAAACTAAAGTGCTTAGTAGTGGCATCTAACCATACCTGACTTGTCTGGCTTCATATCATAAGAAGTATGCTCTGACAAACAAGAAAAAATAGGACTTGCTTTAATTTTTCCTCTGAAAGTTATTGTACTATTCTGACAACACTTCCTAAAAGGCTCTCTCCATATGTCACTATTCAAAACCACAGAACATAGTTTTTCCCAGCATTTAAATCATACTGCTGAAGCAGATACAGAATTGGTAATGGCATAGTTCAAAGATAACCATTAACTGGCATTTGGAAAGACAAAATCCCTGTCCTTCACTAAGAGGAACTGCAAACCTAAGACAAAACATGATGGCTTAGTTAGGTCTGTTGAATCCATGCTCGGAGTTAACATTGCTACTTGATCTAGTTACCATTCAGCTGAAATACTCTCCCTTCCAAACAGGGGACAAGAAACATCAGGCAGCTTCCCAGTTTAAAGTCAAACAGAAGTGGAGGACTTTCAAATTTTTCATTAACTATAAAGCAAGCTCAATGAAAAAAAAAAAAAAAAAAAAATCACTACTATCCCTGCTATAAAACCAATTTTGTATTCCTAAAGCGGGAAGCAGAATAAAGCAAATAATTTAGCTTAAGAGGTAGCTTTGTTTTACCCCAAACCAATGTTATTGTAGGAACTACTGACGGATTTTTCCTACATGACAGCTGTAGACAAAGCAGCTAACACCTATTTAAAAACAAAAGCCTTCTTCATAACCTCTCCACCTTGTGGAATATGTGGTAGCCAGGACTCAATGAACAGCCTTTTGCAAGACAGTCCTGGCTTAACTCCTTTGAATTTAGTTTTTTTCCAGGCTAATGACAAAGAAGGGTAACAGCCAATCTCAGATTAGCTGCCCAGCAGTGTCAAATCACATCCTATCTAACCACTGAACCCTATCTAACACACTGACTCTCCTGTGTGCTAGCATTCATGTTCTTCTGACTTCCAGGTAAGCCAATTTGACAAATGAAGCCACTAAAAATCTAATATAGAAAAAAAATTTACAGAAATAATCTTAGTTTAGTCTTACACTAGTTTCTTCTGAACTGATTTACTAGAGGATCTGAAGAAAATTTGTGTCAATAGAAGAGAGTCAGGGCCAGAGCTGCCCTTTCAGGAACACTTGGTATTCCCATTAGCAGAGCAATAGATTCAGCTAGCTAATAGCCAAGGCAATTACCTTAAAATGCCATATCTGAAGGTACATTTACAAGTGCAAGCCAGTATAATACAAGTTTCAAACCCTAGATATCAGAGTTCACTGAACTGGATTTCAGTATCTTAAGCCTCAGACTCCAAATTTAGATAGATTTCCCCCCCAAACACTCAAATAATTTTCCTTAATGTATTTGATTGAAAAAAAAGCATTAGAGATATCTGAAGAGAAACTACTTACATTAAATTCAAAGCTACATTCTGCATAGTGCTCAAGAGCTAACTTAATTTTTACACATCACTATGACAAGACAGAAAGGACAGCTCAAACTGAAGTGCTAAAAAAAATATTCAGTTTAGAAACTGTCACTCTTCAAGGCAAATAAATCAAAGCTGACACTCAGGAAGTACAACAGCAAACGTTGCCAAAAGGTGTAACTAACACAGTAACACAATTTTTCTGCCTGCTCTTTTAGAATAATTTGTGTCCTTGTTCCTGTTAAAATGCAGAAAGGCAAAAGTAATTGGGTCTTGGATTTGGCGTGGCTGACCCCACTACTAACACTAGGATTATTATAGCAAGCCTAGTGTACCCAGTCAATGTATATGTAGAACTGTTTTATTAATTTGTAAGTATATTCTTCCAGTTAGATACATGTTGCCTTATTTACAAGTCTGCTGTGTTAAAGTACACATTATTTGTACTGGAATCACAATGCGATGCCCAAACCAGGCTCTTGCCTACACAGTATACAAACACATCATGTTTGGGGGAATAGAGGAAGAGCTGCCCTGAATTCAGTTTCATAACATCTTTCAGGACAGCTATAGAGTTCACAGTTGCAAATTAAAGATCCACAGCTTGCATGAACTTGTGCAAAACAAACATCTTGTCATCCACACATGGCTGCAGCTAGAACACAGAGACTCTCTGCAAGTGTCATGTTAACAGTGCTGGGCAACCGATGGGTCACTTGCCATGGCTTTAAGTGCTGGCCATCACACATTTTGTAAGTCTTGGTTTGGTTTTATAGATTTATTTCACCCTCACTTTCTGGGTTTGCTTACCTAGCACCAGTGCAAATTTGCTTAACACTGACAGCTGTCCAAGAGAAGGCATTCCTTTCCCTCCCCCCTCACTCTAAATGAGAAAAAACTTATTAGAGACTGCATAAAAATTCAAGACTATAGGGCTTGACTTGGCCTCCTCAATAGAGCATTAACTGTATTTTTATATGCCTCTCTATCCTTACTCTCAGTATTCCTGCTAAGTTTGCAGCATCCAGTACAGTAATGCAAAGGATATTTCAAACTGAGACAAATACCAACATCTGCCTTATGCACATCCATTCAATGTTTTCTACCTTTAAGAATTCCACAGGGTCCTTTATGTCCAGCGACTGTGCAGCAAGTTCCAGCAGCTCTTCAGAACTCTCTAGGGCATTACTACACTGGCTAAGCTGATCCTGAAGCAAAAACAGAAAGAAAGAGTAATTTGATGTACTCACATTTAAAAAAAGGTTTATAAACTACCAGTATTAGAACTACACGGCTTTTCTGTGCATTTGTAACAACTTATTACCTCATCTAATCAAAGCTATTACCTCTGACACATGGTGTTAGCTAGAACTTCACTGTGCTTGACAAGTACTCAGTGATACATGACACATCCTGTAAATCCAGAGAGGAAACAGTTGAGTAGGTGCTGAAGTCTGATTTAAAAGCCAGATTTCATATTAAGGCCTATTTCTCCCAACATCAGGATTTCAAATCAAAGAAATGCTTACATCTGTGCATGCTACAATTTCTATTTACAGAACTGCACTTCATCAATGAACCAATACAGTTTAATGTAGCAGTAGCCCTGAAAAAGACAATTATTTTAGCCCCAACCAGCTCTAGAACTGTCACGAGACAACCCTGAAAAATCAATATTGCTATATAACAAACGGGGATAGCAGCAGAAGGGGAACAGAGGAAGAGGGGCAGAACACAAATTTCTATCAGTGTTATCTAAAACTCTATCATTAGTAAAATACCATTCCCAGTACATAAAACACTCCACAAAGAACTTCCAGTATTACATACAATGGGTATATCCCTAAAAAGATTAGTTTTGAATACACTGCAGGATCCTAAACATATTGTAGGTTAAACAAGATGCACATTTTAAACCCACCAGCAGCTTTTGCATTGCCATTCAACCTACAGCTGTTTTTCTACTCATGTGATAACTGTAATATCTAAGAACAAGTCAACAGCAAGTAGTTACTTTTCTTTAAAACACTTCAGGAAAGACAGCTTGCTCTAAAGTAGTCACTGTCTCAAAAGCAGTGCATCAACTTCAAGAACAGACTGGTCTCAAGCACTTCAGAAGCTTAACTAGTTTTGGCAAGAGTGGTGAGTTGACCTGGGCCAGCTGCCCCTCAGATTTACTGTTCGAGGATAAAATAGCAACAAGGAAACTGTCCAACAGCTAGAAGTTTGTACACAGTTTCCAGATAACTTCTGAAGCATGCCATTAACGCAAGCTGTCATTCATCTAATACAGCTGCTCTCCTCTTTGGAGGATATCCAATGCTGACAAACTCAGATATACCATGATACTGCCAAAATGTCCCAGGCAAACACCTCAAAAGAGAGAAGCAAATGCCAGAGTCATTTTCAAACAGCTATGCAGAAATTACACGGTAACTGTATGCTTCCATTAGCATCTTTGTGAGATGCAATTGCATTTGGGAGTTAAAAATAAATACTTCAGTGTCATTAAAATACACTGCCCCAAGATGAAGCAATGTATTTTCAAAGCAAGGGTTTAAGGAGAATTTCTAATTTTTGGCCTTGACTTCCAAATTATTTGGGAGGGATCAGTCTAAATATTAAATCCTCACCCTTTTCCATCATTATGTAGCCCCGGTATTTTAAGTTACAGCTTATTCTCAACAAGAGCATCTAGTCAACTACAGATGACTAACTACAGCACAAGCACTTTAAGAGGACAAAAAATTAAGCAAGTCCATTCCTTTAAACAGGACGTTTAGCCCTCACTGAAGTTCCTTGGTTTTCTCATGCAAAGTTAACTTTCAGTTCCAGTCAAAAGATAATGGCTTGGATTAATACATTCAATGCAGCAGTTTTCATCTGTTAGTTCAGTTTGGTAGATTGACTGTTGGGAAAACCACTCTTGCAGTGCCTCAGTTATAGAGGAAGTTTGGTCTTTCATCAAATAAAGAGAATGTCCTCTGGGTCTGTAGTTAAGAGAACAGCCTCAGCTGAAGGACAAGTAGGACACTTAACAACTGTGTCGGTGATCCGTAACATTCCACTTGTCTTCATCCTCTTCTGACAAAGTAGAAGCTCAGCTGTTCAACACAGATTCTGGGCAGCAATTCTTGATACAGCTATACCACAGTGACAAGCTTTCAGTGAAGAACTTGGCTCAACCATACCTGAGCTCGATCAAATCAGATTAACTAACAGAAAATTAACAGATATTAACATAAAATTTCAATACGCAATTCAAACTGCCAGATGAGTAACTATCAAAACAGTTTTCAGTTCCAGAATAATTTTTTGCAAGATTAACTTCAGTTTTTCTTCACTAGAAGGTAGCATAATTGATACATGCCACAGCCGATTTTCTCCTCTGGGCTGTTCATTGAGAAGCACTTACTCTTTAAGCATTTAAGTCCTAAGTGTCTCTGGATGTGGGTAGACCTCTGCCTGTTGAGAAACTTCACAAGGACTTAAAACAGACATATGGGGAGAAAGATTAAATTGGAGGTGGAAAAGTACACTTAAGTCCTTTACTTAACTTGTGCACTCAAAAGTTCTGGAATGTTTTACACCCAGTCTTTAAGTATGAACATAAAACAGACTTTATAAGGAAGCCTATGAAATTTCAGGAAACCACTTCTAGAACTTCATGAAACTGACTAGACATGAGGAGGTGGGGTTTTTCAGGAACAAACATCTTCCTTATTGCTTTGCATAGGCAAAAAGAACTAGACAGAAGAATGCTGCAGCTAGGATCGTTTAAAGAAAAAAGCTTGTGGTGGGTTGACCCTGGCTGGGTGCCAGGTGCCCACCAAAGCCACTCTATCACTCCCCCTCCTCAGCTGGACAGGGGAGAGAAAATATAACAAAGGGCTCATTGGTCAAGATAAGGACAGGGAGTAATCACTCACTAATTACCATCAAAGGCAAAACAGACTCAACTTGGGGCAAATTAACTTAAAATTATTACCATTCAAACCAGAGTAGGGTAATGAGAAATAAAACCAAATCTCAAAACATCTTCCCTCCACCTCTCCCTTCTTCCTGGGCACAGCTTCACTCCCAAATTCTCTACCTCCTCCCCCTGCAGCAGCGCAGTGGGACGGGGAATAGGAGTTGCAGTCAGTTCATCACACATTGTCTCTGTCGCTCCTTCCTCCTCAAGAGGCAGGACTCCTCACTCTTCCCATGCTGAAGCACGGGGTCCCTCCCACAGGACACAGCTCTCCATGAACTGCTCCAGCATGGGTCCCTTCTGCAGGGTGCAGTCCTTCAGGCACAGACTGCTCCAGGGTGTGTCCCCTGCAGGGCCACAAGTCCTGCCAGCAAACCTGCTCCAGTGTGGGCTCCTCTCTCCACAGATCCACAGGTCTTGCCAGGAGCCTGCTCCAGTGTGGGCTTCCCACAGGGTCACAGTCTCCTTTGGGCATCCACTTGCTCCGGTGTGGGTTCCTCCACGGGCTACAGGTGGATATCTGCTCCACCGTGGAGCTCCATGGGCTGCAGGGGGACAGCCTGCCTCACCATCCTCTTCACCACGGGCTGCAAGGGAATCTCTGCTCCGGCACCTGGAGTACCTCCTCCCCCTCCTTCTTCACTAACCTTGGTGTCTGCAGAGTTGTTTCACATGTTCGCGCTCCTCTCTCCAGCTGCAGTTTCTGTTTCCACGGCAACTTTTTTTCTCCTTCTTAAATATGTTGTCACAGAGGCACTACCACTGTCACTGATTGGCTTGACCTTGGCCAGCAGTGGGTCCATCCTGGAGCCAGCTGGCATTGGCTCTGTCAGACACAGGGGAAGCTTCCAGCAGCTTCTCACAGAAGCCAGTTCTGTAGCCCCCCCACTACCAAAACCTTGCCACGCAAACCCAATACAAAGCTAGAGAAACAGTTTCTGCTTAAAAGATTTAACTGTGCTCTGGCCCCATGCAACTAGACTTTTTGAAAGCTAGAGCCAACAGGCTACTGGAAAAACATAGACCTTATACATGTTTCACAAAGTTACATTTTTGTTTGTTTCTCTGAAACCCACTGGAAAGATTCTCCTGCATGAAACTACACAACTACAAGCTGGTAAAGTTCACATAGCAGGTTTAGTAGCAGGCACCAGTGTAACCTGTTCCCAAGCAATTCCCATGCATCTTCCAGTGTGCATATACAATTTGCTTGATGTTAACAAGTGGAGGATGGCCAGTTCTGCCAACAGGAGACCAGCCTTTGTGCTCAGGGTACCTGGCATGACTCTTGACTCTTAAGTTCAAGCCTGAGCAAATCCCTTCAGCATGTCTACAGGTTCAGATGCTCATATTCCAAACTGGAGAAAGAAACCAATTTCAGCCCGGAGGCTGTTCATTACTTTGAAGGTAGTAAACATACCTAAGTCCTGCTCCTATGCAGCCACTCTCCACCTGTAAGGTCTACAAGTAATACCACCTCCTTTCTACATAACAATGTTGAGAACATAAATATGCTAGAGACCATGAAGTACCCTAGAAGAAGGGACCAGAGAAGCACTTACATCAGAGAGAACATTTACCATATACTTACTGCATTTCTTGCAACACTACCAAAATCTCACTTTCAGTTGAGATTTAAAATAGCAGTTTAAAACTGCTTCTACTCAGCTGCAAAGATTTACAGATGTAGTTATAGTTACCTGCAGAGCTTGAATTTTATGAGCCTCTTCTTGCTGAATAGCGTTGGCCATACTCCCCTTCATCTCATCCAATATAGAATACAGACCATCAAATTCTTCATCCAACTCGCTGATTACATTAGAAGAGTTTACCTGAGAAGAGAATTGGAACTGCTGCAATTTGTATTGGAAACAATGCAGACTAGTCTCTTAGACTGAAAGTCACATTGTTTGCCCAAACCTTGCAGCCCCTCCCCCGCGACCAAACACCCTGCCACACAAACCCAGAACACATGCTTTGCCATGACCACTAGATACCTTGTCACTGCTCCTCAACTTATCAAAAGGGAAAAACCATTAGGAATGATGGACACCTCCTAAGCAGACTTTACATCACAACACTGAAGGCTAAAATTCATGAAAATTCCATGATACTCAAACTTGCACAGGACCAACATACTTGGCAACTTTGTTCCATGCCAAAAGGCCTTGACTTCCCTCTCACAATTATATACAGATTGCTAGATGTTTACAAGGAGGTAGTTTATCCAGTTCCATATAAAATGGTTTTATATGATACTAAAAACTGCACTCAAGAAGCCAGCTTAAAGATCTGCTGGGTGATCTCCATTTCTGCAGTTAACTTGGCTCAGCTTTAGCATGAAACAAACAACTTATGGCTTATTGCTAGGCTAAAGGAACCTAAATCTCATTCTAGTGTAGATGGTCGAAAAATTAGGTCTGACTTTTAACTTAAGCCCAACAATTTGCAACTGCTGAAGAGAAAGAGCAAAGAATTTTCTTTCAAGTATCAGGACGGTCTCATTTTTCAGTCTGCCAAGCAGACTACAAGTCTAAAAAACTAAAGACTACTTCCAACAAACAGGAGTCGGGGATCTTGCATCAAAATCCAGATTCTCTCTTCCAGACAAATCAAATCCTACAATAGCTTTCCACATGAAAAGCAAAACCACCATACCTTTCAACTAGAGACAGACTTAAAAAAAAATGTTTTCCTACCTGGTTCCAACACGCATATACAATTTAAACTTGATTCTCATAGCCCATCCCTTACACACTACCCAGTTTGAGATTGACAAAACAGTCGCTCCCCTCTCAGCTACAATCTATAAGCCTTAATATACATACCTGAACATTTTTTATGGTATGGTTCAGCATGTCAATGAAGTTGTGAATTTCATCATTTTTGTTCGCTAGAGTAGATACAATCCTTTGCAGAGTCTCCTAAAATTACAAAAACAAGTGAAAGAAGTTGTAAAAGAACCTTGTAATTTTTTTAACCATCACCATTTCAACATATATGGAAATTCATCATACACATTCCAGTTGTGGTGAATTCAACTCTTATTCTGATGGGATCAGGAAATACATTTTGTTAGAAAAGAGAAAGAGTATCACATGTCTAAGAAGCATTCCACCAAACTAAAGATCTCCAGTTGTTAGCGTAAGAGAAATCAAGAATGTGTCTTATGATACACCACTGTTTCACATGTTTTGCTACCCATGTTAATACCACTCCCGAGCCATCTAACCCAGACTACCTACTGGCACCACACTGCCATATGAAAATTCTCCAGATGAGAAAGTTAGTGCTTGTGCAATCAAATAAGAGAACAAGAAAAAAAAAAACAACTGGTAAAAGTTAACCCAGAAGAAAAAATAGCATTTTCTATTGTCAGAAGAAGCTAGTGTTAAATAACTAAGCTAACAGTTTACACAGAATAGATCCGTAACAGTGATTTGTAAACTTATTCTACAAGAGGTAAAATATTTTGGCAAATAATTTATATGTTCCAATTAAAAGTGACCTCAAAGTGGAAAGCTTACTGAAAGCTGAGAAAGAGAATCAACGTGATTTCTGCGGTGTACTACTCCAGCTATTAAAAAGCAGTAGATTCAGCTTACAAAACATATACTAAGCGGGCAAAACTGTTAAGCACATCAAAATGCATTTTTAAATTAAATAAGACTACCAAGTCTAAATTTGTTCAGTAGTCAGTCACACATTCTAAGAATTAGACAAAAACAGATCAACATACGTAAGTAAAAATAAAGGAAAAGGTGAGAAGGTAACTCAGGCTGGTTGATAATAAGTTCTAGAAACAAATCTGACTCTAAAATGCTAGATTTGGCTCAAAGTTTCAAGTTGCTCTGCTTAACATTGTTACTTGACAACATTTAGGAAATCGAGTCATGGGGAACTAATAAGCACACCTTAAAAACAGCCAGACCACCAAAAAGATGTTGCAGAGGTCCCGCCCAATTTCTTAATAACTATTTACTACTTAGATCACATTTGTTTGCTAAAAGCAAGAAAAATACTTTATCCTTTCACAACATCCACAGCAAACCTTGACACTACATCCCATACAAGGAATCTCTCCACTAGTCCTAAGCCATGCTTGTACCTGTTTCTTCTGACCCCTTCTTCAGCAGTTTTCAATGAACCTGCAATGATGAATTTATTGGTACTCTGGCCCACTGCCTGTTTGTATAGCATCACGCTCACAGAGTTAAACCACTAGCAACGGAAAGTGAAATTTTACTGCTTTTACCACAGGCATTGTGATGGTGTTCCGTAAAGATGTAATGGACCAGCTAGCAACGACTGAAATTAGGACTCTGAGGAAGAGAAACAAAACCAGATTGGCTTCTTTCAGAAACAAAGAGTCTTGATCACTTCATGACAGAATCTTTGCATTCTCTGGTTAAAACTGAACATGTTTAATGACAATTTTGTACACATCAGAATGGGAGATGAAACACCATTGTCCAACCAGCTGCTTCTGCATTCAATACTGACCAGAGGCAATTGTTTTCGCATGTCAGACAGCCCACAGTTAAGCCTTAGATCCTATAAACATAACTGTCAATTTGGATGAACAAGAAAACTCTCAATCCTCTTTCAGCTAGGATTTTAGGGCTTACTCGGTTGCACCACATGGAAAAAAATTAGTCTTCTTGTACATAGTACTGAACAATGTTTTTGGTTTTTATAAGCTACATGCCATTAAAGGAAAAGATCTACATGTGAGGAATGCTTAGAAAGCCTTTACACAACCAAATATATGGCAGCAACTGGAAGATAGCTGTCAAATAAGGTTTTCCACTACATCTAAAGTTAAAGTCAACAGACCAAACAGAGATCACTACAGCTCTTTTTAAGCAAGCTACCAATTTCACCAAACAGAAATTCCACCAGGTTTGGTAAAACTCAAACAAGTTTAGACAGCTTCTACAAACGCAGATGCAAGAGGCCTAAAAACATCCACCAGCAGTAGAGAGAATTTTTCTTAGACACCTATGCACAAGCCACCAGAACAGAAAGTCAGCTTTTAGGAATCACTAACATACAATATTATCTAATATAATTTTCTAATCACTAATATGTAATAAATAGATTTTCTTCCAAACATACCAAGACACATGCCAAATTCAAAACACTGCACTGTTGCCATTTCTTCCTTTAATGGGAATTTCTGAAAAGGTGCTACTTGTAGCAAAAAGGGTGCTAGAAAAATTACCAACATAAGCAGCACTTGAGGCTTACATTCTAAGTTACTTCATAAAAGAATTATAACAGCACCAAACTCAACAAACTTCTTAGTATTTCTACACTGAAGGAAATTTAAATCTATTGCCCACTGATGGATGTAGTATTTCGTAGAATCCCATTACAAGTAATTTTCTTTTAGTTTTCTCTCTGGCCAGCATATGTTTCATGAGGTCAGTTCCAAATTCATTTCCAAAACATTATGGCGTGTTTTTGTACAGAATTAATTTTTGCTGCTATCAGTGAGTGTCCTGGTTTCAGCTGGGATAGAGTTAATTTTCTTCCTAGTAGCTGGTATATTGCTATGTTTTTGAGTTAGGTAGGAGAATAATGTTGGTAACACACTGATGTTTTCAGTTGTTGCTAAGTAGTGTTTATACTAAGTCAAGGATTTTTTAGCTTCTCATGCCCAGCCAGCAAGAAGGCTGGAGGGGCACAAGAAGTTGGGAGGGGACTCAGCCAGGGCAGCTGACCCCAACTGGCCGATGGGGTATTCCATACCATGGGACATCACATCTAGTATATAAACTGGGAGGAGTGGGGGTGGAGGGATCGCCACTCGGGGACTAACTGGGCATCGATCAGCAGGTGGTGAGCAATTGCACTGTGTATCACTTGTATATTCCAATCCTTTTATTATTACTGTTGTCATTTTATTAGTGTTATCATTACCATTATTAGTTTCTTCTTTTCTGTTCTATTAAACTCTTCTTATCTCAACCCACAAGTTTTACTTCTTTTCCCATTTTCTCCCCCATCCCACTCTGGGGGGGGGGGGGGGGGGGGGGGGGGGCGGGTGTGGG